GTCACTGGTAATCGAGCCGGAGAAGCTTGACAAAGCGGCTGAGATCATCGAGAAAGACTTTTCCTTCTAGAGCAACGACTATCGAAAGATAAGCTGCAAGATGGCGTTCCAGATACAATTCATACCTTGCAAACAGCGAGCATCAAAGTTTGGGTTTGACTGCGACAGACAAGAAACTGCTATCAACATTGGCATGAGTTGCAAATTGATCTCAGAGGACATGGCTTTATTGATTGTAAACGAGGAGTCGGCGCTGGCTACAAAAGAAAACTTGTCCAAAAAGCTGCAGCAGGTTCAAAGCCAAGCCGGTTCTCCGGACAGCGAGACATTGGCACTTATCATTGACGGTAAATCTCTAACGTACGCTCTTGAAAAGGATATGGAGAAGATCTTTCTGGACTTGGCTGTTATGTGCAAAGCTGTCATTTGTTGGTATGTTATTTTCTAATCTCCACGTTTTTATTAAGCCTCAAGCTAACTCTGCATTCTTTTAAGTCGTGTATCTCCCCTTCAAAAGGCTCTTGTCGTTAAGCTTGTCAAACGCCATCTCAAGGCATTACTTCTTGCGATTGGCGACGGTGCAAACGATGTTTCCATGATCCAGGCCGCCCATGTGGGTGTCGGTATTAGTGGTGTTGAAGGTCTTCAGGCATCCCGCAGCGCCGATGTCGCAATCGCCCAGTTCCGCTTTCTTCGGAAGTTGCTTCTTGTTCACGGCGCTTGGAGTTATCAACGTATCAGCAAAGTTATTCTCTATTCATTTTATAAAAATATTGCATTGTACATGACTCAATTTTGGGTAGGTTTCTTCACCTTCACCCTTATGCTCGACGTCTTCCAGCTTTTAGCTAACATGGTTTCAACACAGTACTCTTTTCAAAACTCTTTTTCTGGTCAGGTTATTTACGAATCTTGGACTCTGTCATTTTATAACGTTTTTTTCACAGTCATGCCCCCGTTCGCCATGGGCATTTTTGACCAATTCATTTCCGCACGCCTTCTAGACAGATACCCACAACTTTACCAGTTAGGCCAGAAAGGGGTATTTTTCAAAATGCACAGTTTCTGGTCCTGGATTGGCAATGGTTTCTACCACTCTCTCATTGCCTACTTCCTCTCTCAAGCAATCTTCCTTTGGGATCTCCCTCTGGCGAACGGCAAATTAGCTGGCCACTGGTTCTGGGGAACGGCACTCTATACCGCCGTCCTCGCCACGGTTCTTGGAAAAGCTGCCCTAGTCACCAACATCTGGACCAAATACACCTTCATTGCCATTCCCGGCTCGATGATAATCTGGATGGGATTCTTGCCGGTTTACGGTTTCTCCGCGCCCAGAATTGGAGCCGGATTTTCGACAGAATACGAAGGAATCATCCCCAACCTCTTCCAGTCACTTGTCTTCTGGCTCATGGCCATTGTGCTACCAGTCGTATGTCTCGTGCGTGATTTTGCCTGGAAGTACATCAAGCGCATGTATTTCCCGCAAGCGTACCACCATGTGCAGGAGATACAGAAATACAACGTGCAAGACTACAGACCTCGGATGGAGCAATTCCAGAAAGCGATTCGCAAAGTTAGACAAGTGCAGCGCAATCGAAAACAGAGAGGCTACGCATTTAGTCAGGCGGATGAGGGCGGACAAATGAGAGTTGTTAATGTTTACGATACTACTAGATCTAGAGGGAGGTATGGGGAAATGGCGAGTTCCAGGACTCTTGATATTTGATTTTCTTTTCTGATATTGTATTTCTCATGTCCCCATTAAATGTTTCCTTCTCCTTTTTTGT